CCTTCCCCAGGTGATAAATATAGACTGTCTCTAGGTAGGTGCGCTTGGTCTCAGGTCAAGCACCGCGTTATATAGTTTTCTTATATTTTAATGCTGATGATTGCAAAGTGGATTAATCCTTACCAGAATTCAAAGGCTCAGTGAAGATTCCTATCCGTGGTTTATTGGTGCATTGTACTTCTTTGTACAAGAGTTGGAAACCATTCATTTGTAAGTCTCTCGTAGAGTTGTATTCAAAAGTTATCCATAGATTATTTCCTATGGAGTAGATTTCTGGCGGAGGCTTCTCATCTCCACAAAACCTTCCAATTGATGGACTAGAAGAGCTAGGGCCGTCTCTGATCTCCACAAATGGTCCCAAACAATTCAGGAAGGCAAATGATTTTCGTAAGATTTGAACTTTACATCTTTCACGAGCGGAAATTATCCATATGCATTTTTTCTCAGAGCCACAAACAGCTGGACTTTTTGAACTAGCTATGAGTTGGGATGATCCATTTGCCTGCATAATGAAAGGTTCCTCTGCAGAAACCAAAATTAGAAGAGGAGATATGAGTTAAAGAGATCATATACAAACGTGTAAACAACAAGTATAATTTGCTTGTGTCTTACTCATAAGAATATGCTCCCGCAGATAACAAGTGGATTTTTCTGTGTTTCTTTACAGTTAGATATACAAAAAAGTTAGATGAATCGAACAGTATACATTAGCCGTTCGCGTACGTGTCACCGATGTTTTTACCGGAAAAGAAAAGACGTTTTCAAGTTGCGAGGGCCCGAATGATGGTGATTTTGTTACAGTTTTGCTTATAACTAGAAAAGGATGTTTTTCGCACGTCTTGAGCGTGAGGCAAAGAAAAAATTCTGAGTCTTCATCGGATTCCGCGCTCTGATGCTTTATAACTGAGCCACAGAAGCTTTGTGGTAAGCCAAGTTTTTTGCGCTGCTACGGTGTGCGATTTTGAAAGTGTCATATACGTAACTTTAATAAGAAAGGAGTGCGGAATCTGGAGATCGGAAGTTCGATGCCTCATGAGGACTCACTGACACTTTTTTTTTTTTTGCACTGTCTCACTCTTGTGACAAGACGGAAAAAAGCATTAAATTACTACACTCCGAAAATGACTGTCTTTGATCATCAAGTAAGCACTTCTAAAACTCAGTTGGTTCCACGAAGTGGGTTCTACGAAGCCTTGTGGGCCAATTTTGGCCAATTCATCTCTAATTTAGGGCTCATGAAAGCGAGGTCGCATTCAAATTTGCCGCTTTATCGGTTACGAATAGTAAATGATGTCCACGCATTTTTCTGATGATTACATCTTCCAGATGATTGTTATACATTTAAACATGCTGCGCTAAAAATGCCTACATCTTAGGCTTACACAACATTGTTAGATTGTGGACCGTGTGAACCAGTGATCACAAACTCACTTTTTCGTAATTTCAAGTAAGAAAAGCTGGCAGAGAATCCTTGATATTCCATCGCCACATCTGATCTAAATTTCACCCACATGTGTCTTCCTTCTGAATAAAGATTTACTCTCTCTTCGTCACAAAACCTGCCAATAAGTTGACTATTAGCCGTGGCACCGTCCCTGACTTCAACGTAATCACAACGGCACAAAGAACAGTCCTCTAACTCCATTGTTGATATTGCAAATTTGACTTTGCCGCCTCTTGGCGCAGTTATCACCCAAATACAAACTGTGTCTGCTTGATACGAAGATTTTGGAAATCCTGGACTCTTCAATATTCCTTGATATGTGGTGAGGTTTCCATCATTTGGACATTTAGCTAAAAAGAGAAAATTGTATTAACTAGAGAGTAATGTAAAAGTTTACTACAAAACCTAGAAATGGTAACTTGCTAAAATGGGTTCTTTTCAACATAGTAAGCGGACTAAGAGGTCAGATAACAAGCGATGCACTGTGGAAGTAAGGTGAGGTATTTTTATTGAGAAATTGATTGTGTTTTTTTATTCCTAAGAGCAGTCGTAAATATTCCATTCAAACTCTTATAAATTCGCCATGACTCATTTCGCAAGATGATAATCTCACAACTGGAGCCTGGGCCGCCTGTGCTGAAATAGGCCACAATGTAACATTCTTTTTTGAATGGAACATTGCCAATTTTCCGCAATTGTGTGGAAAGAAGTAATTGGGGAGAACTATAAAACAGATGACACACAAAATGCAAACATAAATCGAGTACCATCAACGTGGTTTTGAAATTGCTGAAGTAGAGGGAAACAAGAACAGAGAGGAAAAAAGTTATTGAAATCTCGGCTGCGCTTATCATAGTCTACAACAGTTCAAAACAGTAATCGAGTACCATTAACCCCGTCTATAAATTGCTAACGAAAAAGGAGACTCCTCCGTTGCCCCCCTGACATTGCTTTTTGGTAACCTTAAGCCTGACGCGTAAGAATTAGCCAGAAGAATTGATAATTATTCATTTATTTGCGATCTTCAGCTTTAAAGCTGGTTTAACTGGGGGCCTGTATAAACAATAACAATGCCAAACCACAAATCTGGAAGCTCTGTTCCCTACACTTTGCAACGACAGAAGCTGCAGTCAGACCGAATAATGGTTGCTAGAACGCTGCTACTCGCTCACCTGCCTTGTGTCTTTGTGACCTTATATCAGCCATCAAACCTGCATACGAAAAGAGAATGTCAAAAATCTTTCAAACATCCTGATCATAACCCGTTGGCTTGTCTTTCCAGGGACACGAGGAGGAATTCACAGATCTATAGAACCCGAGAAGCCCACATACATTTCACAGCTACAAAAGAGGATCAGAGAAACCCACTTTTGAAAATTCCCTGAAATATTCGACTGCAACGAAGCCTCCTACATTTGGTATATCTGTCACATCAATCGTCTGCGCGCACTCGATAAACCTGTCGTTCATGTACTCTCGTTACTGGGACTGTAAGACCCCAGGCCTGTAGGAGCTAATCATCTTTTTCCTTCCGTTTTCAGATTAATTGGAAGAACAAATGGTTAATTTCAAACCAGAGACAGATGAATACCTGGCCAACACCACTAGTTTTTTCAGTACCTATACAAAGATGAGCAAAATCTGTCCTCTTAGCGAAGCTAGCTTTTTTAGTGACTTTTTGGAAAAGTTTAAATTCTCAAATACATCATGTAATAACAATTTAAGTTAGACTTCATAACCTCTATCTGTTTAGTTTTCTGGAAACGATTTTTCTCTCAGTGGGGGAGTGAAAAAATTGATTGTATGTATTATGATATTGGAATTAAATCAATGGTGCATTAGATAACGCGTAAATGCTTGAAATATTTTCCAAAGTTTCAACTTACATAATGAACGTTCACAATATTTGGATATTCTTTCTAAGCAAACACTAAGTGGTTTAGACGGCACGATATTTTATTGGACTGGTAGTTGTGTATAATTAAGTGAGGTTAAAAACGCACGTGAAACGATGCACGACACAAACTTTTGCCTCGATGACAACAGCGAGATAATAATAGTTGATGATTAATGACTAAGATTAATTAATTTGGATGATAAACAGTAGATTCTTAGAATTAGGCATAGTCCACACAAATTTGAATACAAATAAAGTCTTTGTGAAAGGAAATGTTTTGGAAAGCAAGTGGTTAAGCTCTCTTTAATCGAATCAGAGAGATGTTCGAGGAGAGAAACATCCTAAAGACAGGTAAAAAATATTAGGAAATGGTTCATTCACCGCTAATCGTGTGGCACGCTTGTGCTGAGTTATATTGTAGATTTGTCGTCGATCCAATCTAACAGCGTACAGGAAAAGTAAGGTTACAGAAGTCTACAGTTAGATTAGAACTTTCCCTAAAAGGTCTACTCAATATTTCTGAAGTTCTACTGTGCAAGCAAACGGCTACAGTTAGTTGTGATCTCACGGTATAGCAAAATATCAGAAAACTTCAAACAAGACGTTATTTAAGGGCTTGAACGATCAACAGGAAAAACGAAATCTAATTGTGCTCACTTTTCTGCCATTTCCTGAGTCAACGCTGTATAAAATTTTAAATAAAAAACTTGAGTATTGTAAATTGAAATATTCTCATTTTGATGCCAAATGACTGAAAACAGACGTCTTAGAATTGCAATTTTTACCGTTTGACGTCAACCTCAACCTCTCCATTGCAGTTTTCATTTCTTTCGGAAAATTGAATTGATCATGATTAGTCTTGATTACTCTAAATTTCTTAAGTTTATTGTTTGAAAACCGTTACAGTAATTCCGCATCCGTATTCCTTGATGGTCGATTTTAATCTTCGAAGTACTATTCTTTCTGAGCTACTGAAACTACCTCTTCTTCTTTCCGATAATCATTTTTTGCGTCGTAAACACCACATCAAATATTACTTGATGACGTAGTTCAGTTTAAACTTACCGAGCCAGACGAGGAACAGAGAAGGAGTCCAGCCACAGAACCATTGCATAATGTCTGATTAGAAGATCTTCCACAAAAATGTACAACAGAAACACAGGTTTCGTGTTTAGTAATGAGAATGTTTAAGTTCCTAGATACACGCAATGTTACTTTTACGACCAAGTTACCGCAGTCCCATTATCCTGTCGGCGAATTATCCATTAAACCATTAAATTGAAGAGTATTTCCGGCTTTAACTGGTCTTAAGTAGAGCGTAATCTCAAAAACATTTGTTAATCTCCTCTCCGATGTTATTTACGTTTTTACATCGTTGTTTCATGTGGTTTCATTAAAGAAATTTCATGCGTGCGCACGGCCGCGCATACTAATTCTTCCTTCGAATCGATTCAGGTTTGGATCAAAATATTGTTGTTTCTTTTCTTCCTTTGTCAGAACCGCTTCGTACAATATCACTTCTGATTTTGATCAAGCAAAAATTGTACCTCATGACAATTAGTTCACAAATTTCGTTCCGAATGCGGTTTGGGAACAGAATGAACAAAATGGAAAAAACCAATGTAGTAGTTAGTTAGTAGTATTTAGTAATACGGCTCAAAATGATTTTCTTTATCTTAAACACCAATTCTTTTATGAATAAATGTAAACACACTTTCCTAATTACTTCCTTGCTATCAGGAAAAACGTCTAATTTTTTTTTTAAAACATGATGTGATTATATCAATGGAACATTACGGTACCCAGCAATTCTGGGAACATAACGGCACCCAGCAAAACTAGGCTCCGAGAAACACTCTTAATTTTTAAGCTACGTGCCCAATTAACCCAAAACGAGTTCGGTGACAGTGGTTAAGAGCGGTCTGTACGCTTATCGACAAATATATTCGTCGTCACAGGGGTCCAAATGTTGTATACTCACGAGGCACGGAGTCCGTTGTCGATAAGAGTGCAGACCACGCCAAATCACTGTGGGTTTTTTTAACCACAATGGAGGCACAGAGTCCGTCGTCGATAATAGTAAAGATCACGCTAAATCACTGAGGCTTTTTTTAGCCACAATGGAGGCACAGAGTCCGATGTCGATAAGAATACAGACCACGCTAAATCACTGTGGTTTTCTTAACCACGATGTCGACGTCAAATAAAACTATTCTTTCAGTGCGTGCGTGACCTTTGCCTGTTACGTTGACATGACTCGAGCAGCATTGTCTGAACTCTTATCGACAACTATCAGATTGCGACATTACCGGCAATCGTGGTAAAAAAGAATATCACGAGATCGTGGCATAGTCATATCTGCCGAGAAGAGGACCTTACTGTTGTGGATTATGACGGGATGATAACACATTGCAAACTTGTCACTATGGCAATGGATGTCTTCGATAGCATCGAGCCGCCTTGGAAGTTCTGTGAGATGAAAATGGTGATAAGAAAAAAAACGGCAAAAAAAAAAAATTAATGATACTTAATAGAGTTTTATGAAAGCCATACGTATATGGTGTACTTGCTTTATCAATGTAAGGGCAAGGGACAGTTCCCTTTTCTATATTAAAGTCATTAAAGTATCGAGGGTCGAACGTGCACATGTAACCACGCCTTCTTACGTCGCATCCAGACTTTTCCTGCCCTGGCGTGGAATAAATAACCGGGCTTATCCTGAATTCCAAATTTTCACGTTTCTGTAAATTTTTTGCGAATTCATTAGCTCAAAAAAAGGAAGATTAAGGTAAATTATCAGAAAAAGAAAATGAAATGATGTTTCTGGCAGGGCTCGAACCTGCGACCTTCCGCGTGTTAGGCGGACGTGATAACCACTACACTACAGAAACTTGCACAACTTTACAATGTTTATTTACATATTTAAAGATAAGTGTACAGATAAATTGCTAAATACCTTTATGAAATCGTTTCGACCAACATGCCAGACTTGTACTGTGATTTTTTCCAAACCTCGATTCCGGCTTTGCCCATGAAAGATCGTGGTACATGAATACTTGGCTATAATGCAGTAAATTCAGTTCTCTCTGTCTCAAAAAGTTGCCTGTCCTGAACCGTTTACTATAAGCTGCTTCAAAATTCATTATAAACGACTCTATTTTATGTTGGAAGAAAGGAAGTTGAAGAATTAAGAATTTCTTGTAAATGTTTCAGTAATTATTTGCCTTATTTTTGCCCCATTCTTGACTCAAATTTTAACGAAATTCACTTTTAAGATGGCCTGTACATTTGACATTTGGCAAGGGTCGCTTCCCTCCCAAACTCTTGCTGTGCATGTCTAAGCCACGTTAACGAAAAACATCTGGGCCTAGTAAGAGATAGTACGCTATCCAAAGTATAAATAGCTATCCAGCGGGTAATTGTTATTGATACGTATTGTACTATCCATCGGATAGAGATTTATCCAATGGATAACGTTATCCACCTTTCGAAACACCGGAGCCCGCTTTTTCTTTATGATTTCACAGCAGTGCAATTACATTGCTTTGTATTTGAATCATCAGTACTTAAAAGTGCACTACTTTTTAAAATTAATTTTTTGTGATAACTTTGCTATTAAAGGTGCCCAGTGTTTTAGGATATTTCCTCATATTTCATTCGCTAAAATAAAGTACATAGCGTTAAGACTTGTCAAGAGAGGAGACACTAAGATCACTGCGCCAAGCTCAAGCCTGAAAGCTCTCTTACAAAGATCGCCTCTGCAGCAATGTAAGGTGCATTCAATTAATACCAAACCATTACAAGTTTCCTGATTGGAACATTTATAACTGGTGTCACAGCCTCTGGCAAAAACTTCACCGTTGCCTCTAGCATACAACTTTGCACAGTTGTCGAGGTTGGGCGCGCAAGTCCCCTTTGTGAGATTTTTTGCGCAGTTTTCCCATGAGACTTGACTTGAACATAAGTAACATTCCAAAGCACAACCCGACATGTTTGAGCATGTTGGACAAGAGAGAGGTGAGAAGGCTGGGAAGTTTATTGTTATCACTCGGATCAAAATAGTGGCTGTTAAAGGAAGCAAATGAATTACAAAAATAAATGATTACAAGTAAGGAGAAAGAAAATAAGGAAGGCGAACTGAAATTACTGGAACCCTGGTTCCAAACCTAATTATCTTGCGGCCCTAAGTTGGTTGATGTTTATCTCAAGGCACTGGCACTCGACAGGAATCATGGATGGTGTCACATGTGAAATGGGAAGACAAAGGTGGCGGATTAAATATTTGGATATTTTAGCAGAAATATAAAGTTACGAAGCTTTCCACTGTCGTTTAAAATTTGGCCTGTTGTTGTTACTTACGTGAATTAGTTACCATGCCACACTCAAGCTTATTCTTCACCTAAATTAAGTTTACGTCAATCACCTGTTAGAAGTTTAAGTGAATGATGACAAATACAGGCGGCTGCTAATTGAGCTATTCGTGTTTTTGATTGCAAACAGGACCCGTTGATTATGTACGGTAGCTAGCCAGCGGTACAAATATATTCTGTCGTCCACGTTATTCAGGTAAGGTCATGTTAAGTTACGTAAGTTACTTGTTGTGCATCTTGTGATTTTAGAGAAATATATTCACGATCTTTTAGAAACGTTGTTCTTTGCTTTAACACAACACTATAGGGAGCTCGGGTGTATGGATCTTTAACCGGCCCTTCCACTTATTACCTGTCACGTACAACCTTTCTCCCTCAGCTGATGTTGAGAATTAACTGAAAGTTAAATTAATGCTAACGGGGGAGAAAGTCAACGGAGGAAGTTGCGTATGAAGTTAATGGACACACTGCTATGAGTTTGTTCACTCAGCAAGAAAAAGTTGCGCTTTCTTCGATAAAAGATTGTTGTGTGACGGTCGGTTTTCAGATACAGGGATGAAATTTTACTCGCTATGAACCTGCCAGTAGGTGCAACCACCAGTAAGTAAGCCAGTAGAGTTCCCAGGAATACAAAAAACATGAGTTTCGGCTGGAAGATTGGTGGTAACCGACCTTGTAATGTCGACAAAGATGTCTTTAGATCGATAGCAAAGTATTTTATAGCGGGAAATATGTCGACATTATGCAGCAGCTAATCTTCTGATATTAAGTGGTTGATGCAATTATATGAAGGATGTTTTCTTTCTTGTCCACAACTTGATATTATTCTGAAACAAATTGACACAAATACTCGGAGTAGTTTGCGGCAAGAGTGACAAACGTCATCTCTCAATCTCTTGTGTGAAAACAGAAGAAAAACAAAGGGTGAAAGGAAAGCGGTCCATTTAAAGCTTTTGTTTCCAATTTATAGTAATATAAAGCATTTTTTCATTCAAGCATGAAACGTATTTATTCCAGCGTACAATACTACGGAGACGACGAGATGGGGGTTAAAGACTTCCGTGCTAAAGTTTATTAAGAATTCTCACGCTGGTTTCTAGCGCTGAACTTACACACAAAAGGGTTCTCAGCTGCTTGCTTTCATCACATTTTAATCCGGTCAGTGTAAAACTGCAAACTGCAGACCGGGGGTAAAATGCAGAGTCAGTTCTAAAACAACCCGCTTCCCTGGAAAAACTTCAAGAGTCAGTTGGGATCGAGGCCGCGTAAGTCACAAGAGGCTGGCAATAATCGTCATGGGCAGAAATTGACTACAGCATGGCCGCCAAGCATGCGCTCAGTTGTTTAGTGCGGCCTTTAAAAATGTCTAACGCTATAAGAGGTTTGTATAGCAAAGACAAAAAAAATTAAAAATTATTCACCAACTGAATATAAATTTCGTATCTACGAGCATCGGTATTTTAGCGTGCGACCAAGAAGCAGCTTTGTAAGAAGTGCCGAGGTCCACACGTACTCTTTTAATCACGGTTCCCCAGTATTTTACACTAGCACCATACAAGAGTCATACCGACCTTCCATACAAACATAGTAAATTAGCTCAACTTGCCAAAATTCGAGCTGTTGTGTGCGAAGACGAAATTGCTGTTAAAAGTATGCCCACATCGCGCTACGAACTTTGGTCTTTTCACTTCCATTTTACGTCGTTTCTACGGTAGACTGTGCGGTCCAAATAGTTCCTCGAGAAGTTTAAGTTTCGCGCTATTCACAATCGGAAGAATTTTTGAACACCATAACGCAGAAATGAGTTTTGGAAAGCTAAAGCGAGGACTCTCTGCCTGGAGGTTTATTCAACCGCCATTTTGAGTCACCGAGGCCTGGTTTCTTAGTTTGTTTAGGGCCACGCGATATAAATAAAGAAAAGTGATTGGTTTAAAGGACAATAAGAGGAAAAGTCTCTGTCGGCGTCCCTTGCGTGACTCGTTTGCGTGACGTAAACTTGAAAACATGTCACTTCCTTTTTTTCGCAGTTGCTGATGACTTTCGCGATAAAAATTTATAAAAATCTAAGTTCTTTGGTTTCCCAATCAATAGTAGCGTTAACAATGTCCGGTGTGCCTCCTTTTAGCGTTATTTTTTACACCAAATCAGAAATTTTGACGCCCGTCATATGAGCCGCTGACTGTCGTCAATTTCTGCTTATGTCATGGCAATTTCAAGCGATTGACGTTTCGATCTTCACTTCCTCGGATGGTTTTGGCGTTGTCTTATTGTTTAAAGGTAAGAACGATTAGAAACGTAGGTG